ATATTGGGTCACAGTTAAAACCTAAGGCAAAGAAAACAAAGGGTTTTTTCCAAGTGATGACAGGGAGAGGAGAGACAACACAGACCATGCCATGGAAACTTTTCTCCAATTTTAGGGACCAAAATGATCAGATATATTGGTAGTGTAGTGTATTTAAGTTTTTGTTTGTGACCTTCATCATGCTTTTCTCTACAGTTTGTTTGGGTGAAAATTGGCTATGGGTCAATCAATTTCATGGCTTTAAGATCCCCAACTACGCTTTTTGGGGTGAACAACAGTGTAACGAGGTTGCTCATTGCTTGGGAAACTTGGTAACATTTATTGATGGTTTTATTATGTTATGGAATGATGATCCTCCTTACCCTAAGGATTCTTAATGCTTAGTAAAATATCGTCTTAATATCTAGTAAAAAATAGAAATATTTAGTCATATATCTGTTCTTAGCACTAATAATATAGATAAACCCTACATCATTTAATTTCTATAAACAAACCTAAAAAAATCCCAAAAAATGACAGCTGACCTTATTGAATTTAATTTTGATTATTAAATTACTTTGATACTCTATTGAGTATTTTGGGTTTTTTTATGAGGTTTTGAGGTTGGGCTTGTTTTAAGAATTTGATGGCAGTTTTGTAATTTATAAGAAGTTAAAAGCCTCTTTGTTATGTTGTAAATGAGCTTTGGGTTTATTTCTAAAGTCCATTTTATATATGGTATTTTTATAATTTATGCCTCTATATTGGGTATAATAATGAATCTTCCAAAAAAATATTGTGGGATGTGTGTACTCAAATACAGTTGTGTCAAAGTCAACGGGGGCTAGTTGAGTGGAAAGGACATTGACTTACAGACCAGTTGTCTCAAGTTTGAACCCAAATAACACCTTGATAATGTATTTATTTGAGAAAATCTCCCTCCCCAATATCACTTATTTAAATATATAAATACATTCATGTCACCAATGACAAATTATTGCCCAACGTTGAACATATAAAGTATAACATTTTCTTCAATTTTAAATGAATCTTGTTAAAACTTAAACAATATATTAGCGTTATTAAAGAGACCATATTATTACCACAGATTGTGTATTATGTATCTAATAGTGACGATATATACCTGTATTGATGGACCCTACCTCCATTCGAAGGTTATATACCACGTGGTACAATAATTTGATCTATAATGTGGTACAATAACCTAATCTCCCTAGCATACTGTAAGGATAAGAGTAAAGAAAAAAAAATCTAAAATTAATTAGTGCCTTTTTGGGTTATGGGGAGAGTGTAGAGGTTCATCACTTGGAGGTAACAGAAAAGAAAGAGAAGAGAAGAGAAGAGAAGCGAGAGAGCAAAAGGAGGAAAAGGTTGGGAGAAAGTGAAACAAAGGGCAAGCAAAGCAAGAACTGAAACTGGAAAGTGAAGGCGAAGGCAAAAGAGGTTGTCGGCTAATGATGTCGCTGCTACTGTCACCTTTGATTCTCCCAAAAAAAGCTGTTGCCGCCGCCGTTAATAGTTTCATTATTACGTACGAATTATAGCTTTGCCCCCCCTTCCTTCCTTCCTCTGAAAATGATATTTGATTCGCTTTTTTACTCACCTAACACTATTTAATTGGATTAATTGCTAAGAGCTATCAACTTCACTTTTTGTACTCCCTTTTCTTCTTCTACATGATCTTGTGTTTATGTATGTGTTTCCTCTTTTTAAATTTTGAGTTTAATATTAATGGTTTTTTTTATTCCTTACAACAAAGCTACATCACTGTAAAAACGAAGATAAAAACTAGGGTAAACTACCGAATTGCCCTATGAACTTGTACATAACTATCAATTTACCCCGTGATCTTTTTTTTTAGTGAATTAAGGGCTCGAATTAAATTTTATTATCAATGTTCCCCCTGCCATCTAAATCATCAACATTTCATCCAATTTGCCGTTAAATATGAGGGCAAATTGGTCATTTCATATGTTAAAAATAATTAAATACTATAAACTAAAATAATATGACATATAAAATGAAAAAAAATCATTTTAATAAACAAAAGGGTGGGACCCACCCACCCATTCTTCTCTCTCTCTCTCTATGCGACCAAACCCATCAGCTTCCACCCTCCAAATAACCCCATTTTATTCAGATCTTGAATCCATTGATGAGTTGTGCGATTTAGGGTCGAGATTTTGGGGGAAGGGGCAATGAACTTGTGAGGTGAAGAGGTCTGGACCTCTAAGGCTATGGGGAAAAACTCATAGGGGAAAGGGCGCGAATGGGTTTGGGTTTTATTTTCTGCAAATCCCGATCTCATTCTTCCATGGCTGAATTTAATGAGGTTTGCCATTTGTGATTTTGTGCTTCTTTTTCTCTACCTATGTTCCATGTTTCTGATTGGCACAAAGCCACTGGTGTGGCTTCTGGGAATTATGGGTTCGTGGGGTGGGGGGGGGGGTTTGTCTGTGGGTTCTTGGTTGTTGTGGTGTGGGTAGTCATGGGGGAATCGGGATGGGAAAGGGTGAATAGTTGGGGGGGGAAAAAAAAGGGAGTTTCACTAAAACACCCAAAATGGGGGCTGAAATTATAAAAAAACCCAACACCCAAAACACTTTATAAACACACCCAAAACCCATCATTACACCCACTCAAAACCCATTTATAAACACACCCAAAAAATATACAATTGATGATTTTGGGTGTGTTTCTATGTTTAAATAGTGCGTGGGTTTTTTTTATAAATACATGTTTAGGATTGGGTTTATTTATAATAATCTATAAAAATAAAATAAAAAATTGAAGGGAGGTGGGGGGATTGGTTTGGAGTGAAGGGTTGGTGGTCATGGGGAAATGGGGTGGAGAAGAAGACTGCAAGGAGGGGCGACTGTGATCTGTTTGTGATTTAGGAATAGGATGAGGCTCATGAGATTACAAACAAGCTAATAGCAGCAAAGCAACTATTGTTTTGTGAATTGAGAGTTGCTTTTTGTCCCAGACTCAGATCTGGTTCTGGTTCTTGCTTTGGGTGTTAGCAAAATTTCTCTATAAACACTTTCCCTCCTCTTTTGTTTGACTTCAAAATCCAAAGAAGCCGAAGAAAATCGAGAATCTACACTGTCAAGTTCTCCAAGCACCGACCCATTTAGTGTACCCACTGCAGCATCCTTGACATTCATGCTCAAATCATTTCTGTTCCATTGAAAACCAGAACCACGTTAAAGTTTCAAACTTTCTCAAACAATATAAAATTTTCAACAAACAAAACTTGCGTTTTTGTGATTGAATGCTACAAATAAGAAATTGAAACATGGGTTCTAGTAATATCGGCCCAAGGCACATGGTTTTTGTTTTTTTTCTTTAATTCTTTCAAAAAATAATATTTTTTAATGATCTAACAGATTATTGGATGACATGTTGTTGATTTAGACGGTAGGGGGGAATTGATAATAAAATTTAATTCGAGCCCTTAATTCGCTAAAAAAAAAGGTCATGGGGTAAATTGATAATTAGGTACAAGTTCAGGGGGCATTTCGGCAGTTTACCCTTAAAACTATTAAACCAAATATGCATTGCTGTTCAGATAAAATATTTTCTCCATCAAAATTATGACATTAATTTTGTAAGATTATGTGGGTTAGATAATGGGTTTTACAAATGTTGGTATTATATCTGACCAGCCTCTCATGTCATGACACGTGGAAAGGACCTGACACCAAGCAGCGCCCATGAGCCCATGCTGGCCAGTCCGGCATTACAATCGATAGTTGCCCCTTGGCACCACCTACTAATTCTCCATCAATTAGGGCCTAAGAGCCCACATTGACCTGCCTAGTCTTACAATCAGTTGGTGCCCTCAACACCCACGACCAATTCCACTCTGGCCGGCCCAGTTGCACAGGTTCACAATCGACAATCGATAGATGCCCTCGGCACCCTTTACCAATTCAGTCTCCCAAAAGGTATCTTGCAGGAATCTCTCAGGTTCTTTACTGGTATATTGGCTAGGACATGTGGCATCTTTTTAGGCTACTCCCACGAGTCTCACATCAAAAGTTTACACCAAGAGGACACCCAAATACCTCTATAAATATAGTCTCTTGCCTCCAGGGTACAAGGTAATAGCTACTTGACACTTATGCCCCTACTTTATCAATAGCTAACTCCTCTATCTTTTGGCTAACTTTAGCATCAGAAGGCATTCGACTGGCACCACACCGGTATCTTAGGTCTTACCTACTGCTCTTTCCTCTCTCTCTCTCTTTGCAGATAATCCTCAGCTTATTAAAGAGAAGTGCTTACTGAGTGCAAATCAGATCACACCTCATCTTTAAATTTGAGCCCACTACTGATCGTCTAGTTTTGAGCACCAACAACAAATCCATTACTAGTTAAACTTTTGTTAATTTTTAAGTGATTTTACTAAAGCTCAAAAGTTACTTAGGTCTTGGATTCGATCTCCTCCCAAATGTGCAAATACTCACAAGAAAATATTACTATGTTAACCTTTATTTGTTAACTTATAAGCGATTTTATTTTAATCACAATATGACATGTTTTATTTTTATTTTTATGGGTGGATAATACAATGTAACATGCTTGAACTTTCAAATAATAATAAAATTGACATACATGGTAACATGGACATGACACACGGATTCTTTAACAATATTCCCTTGGTCCCCCTTCCAAACCCTTCCCCTTCTTTCACTCTTTTTGCCCTTTCTCCAAGTTTCTAGTCCTGCCTCGATTCACGTTTTCCATTTTCTTTCTTTAATTTCCTTTTATTTTTCTAAATAATATTTATTCATGTTCGCTTTTTATAATTTTAATTGTTTTAATTTATTTATTATCTCATCAACCCAGCAGCGGTAAATAAATAAAAAAGTAAAAAACAGGTCAAATAACTCACTGTTTCTCTTGTTCACTTCACTTCCAACTCCTACTTGCTCTCACTTCCTCTCACTTCCTCTCTTCTTCTTCTTCTTCAAACCCATCTCTCTCTCTCTCTCTCTCTCTCTCTCTCTCTCTAAGCATACCCCAGTTCCCTATAACTACACCTACCCAACAAAACCCAACTCTTCTTATTCTCAAACACTTGCTGTTCATTACCAGAGAAAAAAAAATGCTTCCTTTCCTGAGCTGGTCTGATCAAAATCACTACGCACACGACCCGTCGCTGGTCAACCTGATGGACGGGGCAGATTCCATCCTGAGCCCAGCAGCCTCCATGACCGAGACCTCCAGGTCAGCAGAAGCATCCAAGAGCCACAAGGAAGCCGAGAGGAGACGCAGGCAGCGTATCAACGCCCACCTCTCCACCCTCCGCACTCTCCTCCCCAACACCACGCGGGTAAGAAAAACCAAAACCATAGTCCCTTCCTCGTTATTTCGATTTAAATATAGGGGCATTGTGGTAATTGTACTCGGCGTGATTTTAATTTTATGCGCAGACGGACAAGGCGTCGTTGCTAGCGGAGGTGGTGCAGCACGTGCGGGAGTTGAGGAGGCAGGCTGCTGACCTTGCGCGACAGGACGGGGGCTCTTGCTGCGGCGGCACCACTGGATCGGAGCCCTGGCCGTTTCCGGGCGAGTCGGACGAGGCCACGGTGAGCTACTGCGACGGCGAGGCGAGGCTTCTGAAGGCGACGCTGTGCTGCGAGGATAGGCCTGGTCTGAACCGGGACTTGATCCAGGCGATCCGGTCGGTACGGGCCACGGCGATCCGGGCCGAGATGATGACTGTTGGCGGACGGACCAAGAATGTGATTGTGATGCAATGGGCCGGCGGTGGCGGGGAGGAGGAGGTTAGGGCTTTGAAGCGGGCTTTGAAGGCTGTGGTGGAGAATCGGGCCTCGGGTTCTGGGCCGGGTCGGTTGTTTTTGGGGAACAAGCAAGCTCGGGTTTATGGGTCGATATATGAGGATGAGAATGAATATTAAGGAAGTAGTGAGGGCAAAAAGGGAAACTCATATTTTGGGTTGGTGTACAGAAACCTGGATCCTAGATTACATGGAATAAAATCAGTAGGATTTGTTATTTTTTTTGTTTGGGTTTATATATATGAGATATACTGAGATCAGATTTATTTTTTCTCCTCTTTGAGGAAAAAAATAGAAGCAGACTGAAACAATCAAACAATAACCTTTTATGTTTAGTTTAAATTTTAAATTGTAATATATGATTGAAGCTATGGCTGCTTTTTTTCCTAACTAATTAAGATGAGGGTAAAAGAATTAACAAAACATTATCACATCCAATTTGGGCTTACAAATTTGACCTGGAATTTGTCTAGCTCAAATTCTACTCTTATCTCCTGTCTTTTTTTTAAAAAAAAATATTAAATTTTTATACAAACGGCATTAGAGAGAGTGGAATATATTTTTATCTCGTCTTAATTGATGAAAAATAAAAGCGTTCTCTTGTCTTAATTGATATATTAGTTAAAGCTCTCGTTAATAATAACTACTTAATGTTATCATGATTCAATTTTAGAAACATGTAGTTGTAATAGAGATGACGATTGATGGTCATGACAAGGTAGTAGAGACGTTGTGATATGAGAGTGGTTTCATCACAATTTCAAGTTGATGGTGATTGTCGTGGTAATGTGGTGGTTGTAGCAAGTGACTTTTTTTTCTTAAAATTCTGACTCTGTTGATATTTTATAAACGACAATTATCGAGATGGAATTTAAAGTTGAACTTTATGATCACCCAATGCTAAGTTTTTTTTTCTTTTTTTCCAGTGGAATTTCTCAATTTTTAAAATTTTTAATTTTTTTTTAATGAATTCAAATAAGATTATTGGTGTATATCAATTTAAAAATTCAGAATTTTCTTTTTCAGATTCTAAATTTATTTTTCCCATTCAAAACCATGTAGTTCCAAGTAGGCACATCCATGTCACTTTACAAACTCTGGATGACTACGGGTTGGGATTGGATAAGATTCAAGCCTTTTTCTGTATTGTATTCACGTTTCATTATAATAAAAAATAAAAAATTATTTCTTAAACTAAAAACTCATCTTTTTGGACCGACCACATGTGAAGGCGGGAACGAGCAGAGATGATCTTCCCAATCCGTAAGTATTATCAGAAACCAACCAACCAACTTACCTGTATATCATTAAACTCATAAATCTTTGTTTGTTTTCACAATTGCAGGCTCAAACGCTCGTCGGATTCTTTCAACAATGGCAGCTGCAAGACCTTCCTCAACCTGTAGCAATTACAGAAGAAAATCCTCTGCCTCAAACCTGGTACTTGTTTCAAGCTCTCAATAATATATATATTTATTATCAAATTGGTTGCCTCACTGATACCCAGATTTTGTTTCTTTAATATGTGAAAATTCCTAGACAAATTATGCAGAAGTTGAACAAGGAACCCATGTAGAATTACTGCCTTCAGTCAAGTAAGTATATTTTCCAATCATTGCTCTTTGATATGAATTATTGTGCTTGAAATGTTACATTGATTTTTTTTACCTCACAATCTCTATTATTTTAGTTCCATGTTTGAATATCTGGATCACAAGAAATATGATTTAATCTGTCTTTATTGAAAAGAGGAAATTCATTTTCACCCAAAAAAGAAAACATAAATTCATGACTAGGGAAACTCTTGAATTTAAATCTTATGATGTAATTTTAATATTATAGATATATTATGATACCACTAAGAGCTCCACCATAACTGCTATGATCGGCTGTCTTTTTACAGAAGACACCCAGTTGGAAGGCTGGAGGCTTCAAATGATTCCATGGAACTTGCCCATGAATGTTCAAATTGTGAAGGAGAAAATGTTTCAAAAGCTAATAATGGGCCTGACTTGTTTGGTGAGATGAAAGAGAGGTTTCTGAGTTTTAAGAAGCACAAATTTTTGTAAGTAGCAGTTAAATGTTACACACAACTTGATTGCATATTGGTCTGTATGGTAACTATACTCTTGAACAGGAAAGAGTCAGAGCATTTCCAAACTCTAGCTCAAGCTCAAGCACCAAAGGTAGTTTATATAAACTTGATTTTTATCTTGTTTAAAGTACTTCTTGCTTCTGCTCAGGTTCATTTTTCTGTTATAAATGAAATTGGAAAGTTCCATATAAAATAAACTTACAAGTTCAAAAACAGTTCATGGTGATTGCTTGTGCAGACTCTAGGGTATGTCCCTCTAACATCCTAGGCTTTCAACCTGGAGAAGCATTCATGATTAGAAATGTAGCAAACCTTGTTCCCCCATTTGAGGTATATATTTGGCTCTTCTGTATTCTACAATTTCTGCTCTTTCAATTCTCAAATATAAACTATCAAATCCTGCAAATCAACCTTTGCCCTTTGCAGAATGGAGCATCAGAAACTAATGCTGCCCTTGAGTTTGCAGTAAATACTCTTGAAGTATGTCATCTTGCTCCCGAATCTCTTTCGACCTCTGTGTTTATGTATAACTTAACAGTGCTTTGCTTAAAATCGGAATCCATCTCCAAATTCGGGGTTAGGGAGGTAGCGAAACTAATGTTTATTTTCCTTGAAAATTGATCAAAATGTTTATGGCTGACTTCAGGTTAAGAATATATTAGTCATTGGCCACAGTAGCTGTGCAGGAATTGAGACCCTCATGAGAATGCAAGATGATGGTGATTCAAGGTTTCTTAACAATTGATCCTTTCTCGCTTTTGTTCACATGGTATTTTCAGGACATCAGTTTTCTTTAAATGCTGTAATTTTTTTTCTGTGATTCTGCTTTCAGTAGCTTAACTCATAGTTGGGTTATCAATGCCAAAGTTGCCAAATTAAGAACAAAAGCTGTTGCACCACACATTAGCTTTGATCAGCAATGCAGACACTGTGAGAAGGTACTCCTTGAGTCCTTTCCACTTGATACTCTTCTTAGGCTTATTTGCTTGTGATTAATTTCTAAAAGAAAGGTTTTAAACGTCTCCTAAAATGCGGCCAATAGATTGTTTCTTACTAATGGTGATTCAACAAAACAGATTCTATTGAGTGTGTGAATCCCATGTCGGGGAATTAAAGTATTGCCTAATAATATTAAAAGATTCATGCAATTTGCACTCGTTACCAATTGGTTTTGGATTTGATAAAAAAAGATATAGAGCAAGTCTTTAAATGTGGTCATCCTTGCGGTATTATAAAATTTTCATTCTATTACAGGAATCAATCAATAATTCATTATTGAATTTACGGACATACCCATGGATAGAAGACAGAGCAAAGAAAGAGATGCTCTCTCTTCATGGAGGATATTATGATTTCTTGAGGTGTACGTTTGAGAAATGGACTCTTGATATAAATGGTACCAGGCCTATAGAAGGAGGCAGATACTTGGACAAAGATCGAGAACTTTGGTGCTAAATTTCTTGCTTCTTCCATTAAATATAATTATTATTAATAATTATGGGGAGAAAGTGTAAGGGGTTTGGGTTTGTAAATCACATCATAACTTGCATGTTGTAACTTATTTTTTTCTTATGTAGTAAAAACTAAAGATGAAACGGGGTGTAGCTTAGTAGAAAAAGGTCTTGACTTGTAGACTAATGGTCTCAGGTTTGAATTCACATGGCATCTTGATAATGCGTGTGATAAACTTCCCTCCCCCTTACAATTTAGACCATCACTTGTATTCGAAAAAAGAACTAAAGATGAAGCCATTTGTATTCTAAATTACACACAAACTTGAAGAGAGCGTAAAACCCTAGACTAAGGTGGGTTTGGAGGCAAACATAAGCACAAGCAAGAAGAAGAGCCAAATTTCCATTTTGTTGCAAACAGAAGCACTTAATTATTTTCTGTATGTCGCTTTTTAGAGGGTAGCTTCGTCCATTCAACCCAAAATTAACCTCCTCATTTTAACTTAACATATTTGGTTAACCTATCTCTCACTCTTTTTCGCTTTTAAAGAGTTTTTCCATTTAAACCCGCACTTCTCTTTGTTTACCCCAACTTCTAATTCAAAATTTCAAAATTTCTAAGAAAACCTCACTTTCTTCCCAAACTACCCATAAATACACACCCAACAAGAAAAATAAAAATAAAAAACTCATCAACCTCACACCCCACACCCCCGCTATCTTGCCCATCACCACTCTAAGTTCACCTCAACCTCACATTAATTAAAGAGATAAAAACAATGTTGTCAAATGTGTAGCAACATTATTATTTTTATTAATATTATTATTTTTTGAAAATTTGAAAATGAACTAGTAAGAAGGATGGATAAATACCCTATTGGAGATGGTATTAGCAGACACATGAACAAAAGGCAACCAGAGCATCTTGCTACTTCAAAAAATCAAAACTATATGTCAATTTGATCCACCTAACAAATTAATATTTCTATTGTCTGATTCAATATTTATACAACAGAATTTCATATTCCAATTTCATATTTCAAAGTGAAAAAAGAGGGTGGTGGTCATACTTCACTATTATTTTTTTAAAATTCCAAACAACAAAGGGTCTTAATATCTTTTCATAAAACAAACTTCTCTTCAATAATCTTTGATAAAATAAAGGTGTAGAGGAGTTTGTGTTTTTCTAAAACTTAATATGAAGAGTGATGGGATGTGTTTATAGATGTACCAGGGTTAAGTATTAAGTTCGATGATCTTTTTTGTCTTTTTACACAATAATAAAACTTAAGAGCATAATGATTTAAGTATTAGGATAAACAAAAAAAAGAAAGGAGTTTAAATAGAAAAACTCTTTTATTTTAGCCTTAAATGTTTAAAAGTCAAAATTTAAGAGTAACAATGCCTTTTTTTACTTTGAGGACTTTAAATTTGTTTTAATTATTTACTTTTAAGGGTAAAATAGACATAGAAAATAAATAATAAATGAAAATTGGGCGGAACTTGATTTGAGGAATTTGATGTATGAATTCGGATTCAGGTTGGAAGGTTGGGATTCAAATTCGGATTCGGATTCAGGTTGGAAGGTTGGGATTCATATTCGGATTCAGATTTGGATTTGGATTTGGATTCCGGTTGGAAGGTTTGGATTCGGATTCGGATTCGGATTTGGGTTGGGAAACGATATCCATGGCAGCGGAAGGATTTAAGAATAAGATAAAAAAGATGTGTTTAGGGTTTCGGGATTCAGGATTCAGGATTCAGAGTGTGTTTAGGGTTTCTGGGTGTGTTTAGGGTTTCGGGATTCATGATTCAGGATTCAGGGTTTCGGGATTCAGGATTCAGGATTCAGGGATTCAGGATACAAGGATACGGGTTCGTGTTTCAAGGAATTCGATACGAGGGATTCGGGTTTAGATCTGAATCTGAAACAAGGAATTTGATTTAGGATATGAGGATACGATACGAGGATATGAGGAATGTGATACGATGATACGAGGATTTAGAGAACACAGAAC